ATAATATATTACTAAATTAATATTATTTTTATAATGACATTATTAAATACCAATCATTATTTAATGTTAGACTATTTATTGAAGACATACTTTAATCCGCATTTGATTTGATTTCATTAAATAGTTGATAGTTATTGAAACTAATCTTAGGATTATTTCATATTATTGGTAAACTATTTCTAGCTTAAAAAATTATTTCATGTTAAGATTAACTATTATAAAGTTCAAGTTGGTTAAATTTAAAAATTGAGTTTAAAAAACAATTTAAAAAGAAATCTCCAGGGCAAAAAGATGCTTATGGTTCCATCCATTAATTGTAATTATGGCGAGTAGAAAAACTTACAATTTCAGATTAGAATATCTTGTATCAGAGTATTTTTAATTTTCATAAATTGTAAGTTTCTTTGCATCTCTTGATTTAATCGACTTTATCTGATGAATAAATGAATATTTTTACTAGTCGAATGAGTTTCTTCGTTTCCTAAAATTACTTATAGTGATCAAATACATTTTGAATGGTACTTTAATGAAAATAAAACCATAATTCAAATAAATATTTATAAATATATTTCATATTATTCATGATTAAATTGGTATATTATCCAATAATTTTATTTAAGATTCCCAACCTACACCCACACATGGATATAATTCTTTTGATGTATCTATATCCAACTACTAATAATCGATATTATAATTACAACAATAAATGTTAATTATGGATTATTCAATCTACTCCATTTAATGTATTTATGTTCAATACATACTTCAATTATTATTATATCATTATTTTTAAATTTGAAAGATACTTATTTACTTTATAGATCATTGTTATGATGAGAATAAGTAATACCACTATTTGAGATTAAATATGTTCTATTATAATATAAATATATATCCATACCCAGTTTAATAACAAGAAGTATAATTATTTTTCTGCATAATTTCTCTAAATCCTATTCCAACCATAACATATGATCCACTTATCATTTAAAATGCAAATTATGTTTTCCCAGTCTTTGGAATCGCTTATTCACAATGACAATAATAATGATAACCGTTATTACTAGTATCTGCTAAAACTTTTCCATCTACACTTAGTTAACAATAATTATGCCTATAAGTATCTGAAAATGATAATGATTTGCTATATAATTGAATCTAAATATAATTTAATAAATTGATTATAAATATACTTTTTCTAATTCGATTTTATTTAATTTTTCTTATTCTAACTTAGCTTTATTAATTTAATCAAGTTTGGTTAATGTTTCTTGTAATTCTGATATTTTTTAATTTAAATTTTGATTAAATTCCTATTTTATTTTATTTTCTATGATAAAATAATATCAAAATCTATTACATTCATCTTCGAATTTATTCATCATTACTTATTTCTCCTGCTCATATTACTTTTTATTATCTTTAATTGTTTATTCATATTATTCTTTCATATTTTTTTATTCTTTTTCCTTTTATTCTAATGTTTGATTTATCTCATTGAATTTCTACTTAAACGAATCTTACATTGAATTTACTAAATTATTTTCTATATAAAATTATATAGCATTACTTTCAGTTTCTAAATTTTTATTAGATTCTGTTAATTTTATTACATCATTCTCCAACTATTTGATGTTATTTTCTAACTCTTTAATATTACAATATTTTTTCAATTCTATGCTATGATTATCAAATGTATTTGCATATTCATTCAAAATAT